ACACCCTTTTATTATTTAGTATCAATCAAGATGATTATAATGCTTTAAGTTTTTACAAGTTATTAAATTGTAATCGATTCCAAGCCCACAAAGAAAACTCAGCAATAAATAAGAGCAATTTTCGGACAATCCACTTTAGCGGAGCAAAATCAGCAATGTTTCAACTTGATATGTTAATTCCTGCTGTATTTGCATGGCATAATGTAAAACAAACAAAATGGCAATAAATTGCGTATTTTCGATAATTAATATTTGAGCGCACTTGACGTTGCATAATGCACAGGCTAATTCGGATGCATTTTGTTGCAGTCGCGGCAAACATTTCAATTCAGCACCACAGGCAATAATAACTTAGTTTGGCTAAAAGCTTGTGCGAGCGCTAATTGAGTTGGCTCTCTCTCTGCTGGTGGGTAAAATGTGTTGGCCGTAAGGGAATGGGGTTTTGTCCGTAGCCAAATTGATGTGCCTAAGCTCCGCGTTTATGGAGATGTGAACGAGCAATTCCATTTTCCCCCAAACTTTAGTTATTTTCCAGGGCCGCCAGGCAGTGCGTTAAAATGCCAAAATGCCGACTCGAAATTTTGTCACGCACAATCAGCAGCGGCGTTCGCACATGAGTGCTGACCGGCCACGCCCACTGCGCCCACACACACATATAGTACACACAGGCACAGACACACCCATGGATTATGCATGGGCGTTTTTGCTAGGGGGGGCGTGGCAAACGGGGTTAGCTGCCAAATCCGCACTCAACATTTTCAAGGTTTCCCGCCGCCACGCTCGTCACCAATATTGAAAAGTCTATGCGCGCTTTTAGTGGCCCAGTTGACAGCTGCCAAAAACATTTCTATGGTCCTCTTAAGCCGCCATAAGCCGTGCATTTAATTAAACTGCGCCGAAAATATTTAATTGCCAACCGCTAAAACCAGAGCAGAAGCCATATGCGAAAATGCTCCAAAGGGTTTCCCGACCTCGGCGGTCGTAAAAGGTGGAAATATGGGCTTTTGTTTGCTTAGCTTGGCTTTAAAAACAAAAGAAACGAGCTCTTAATAAATATATATACTTTTAAATTTATTTTAAAAATTTTGATTTGTATTTCCAGTTAGTATTTTTAATTGTTATTTGAAAAACTAAGACCTTACATAACAATAGTATTTCAGTTTTTTTTACATTAAAGAAATTATATTCTAATATAATAGAACCAAAATTCATCTAAAATAGATATTTAAATGCCATATTATCGTTTGTTTTCTTTTAAAAATATATTTGTTAATTGAGTGTTTACTGAGAAATTGCTAAAATAAAATTAAACTTGTACAACAATTGTTGGCTTAAAGGTTTTCCAAACTAATTACCAGTTTAATTACTGCTAAAACAAAAATATTTATCAAAAATGCCATAAAAGCTGTTTAACCATATTGATAAATTAAACTCATGAAAAGCACAATTATTTATCACTTTCCAAGCTGTCAATTAAGCGGTGTTAATCAAGTTTTCACATTTAACCGCCGAATAACAGCTGAAATGAACCTTCAATTGGTAAATCAGCCGCCTGAAATCCATCGGCATGTCACGCGTCTAGCTAAATTTAAAATTAATTAATGGCATTTGTTTCTGCATCGGTTGTGCGTGCTCGCAATTATTAAATGAAGTTTTTAATTGATTTTAAACCAGAAATTCACAAAATCCCAATATCATCGGCTGCCAACGATAAGGCTTCTCTTAGTTTCGCCAATTAAGCAATGAAAAAATGTAGCCCAGAATTCCAGAAAAAATTTAAAATCTTCCATCGATGCGAAAGCGATCAATAACAGCAATTTGAAGCCAATGCAAAAATATTAAATGTTTCGCACGGAATTGGTTGGTTTTTATCATTTCAACTGACGAGGGTCACGCACGGGTTTTAAAAGTCAAGAGTACGAATATCACATTTGGGAATCCGGGCCACGGCCCACATATTTGTCAAACAAATTGGTTAGTTGTTTGCGCGTGTGTGATTTCTGCTCTCACTCGATTCCCTAACTAAATTTCCTTTTGAATTGGAAATTAGATATGCAACATGTGGTTTATTTATAACGTTTGAATAACAATTGCAATTGTTCAGATGATTCGTAATCAAAAAGGGAGGGTGGATATCCGCTCACTAAAATCCAATTATTTGGTAATTGGATATATGTGCATTAGCCTTTAATTTTTATATTTTGGCTTAAATTCGTGAGCTAAACGAAATTAAATGAGTAAAACATTTTGAATTGGCTTTTGTTGTAATTTTACGGGGTCGTTTTCAAAATGTGAAAATGAATTTTAATTCAAAATATCAAAACACCGTTTTAAAAAAAAAATAAAATATATATTTTAAATGACTATTGGGTTCTTTATTACCCGAAATGAATATGAATATGAATAGTTAAAATACTTCGTAGGTGTATTTCAGATATTAAAAAAGCAAAGATTGCTTGCTTCTTAAATAGAATATTCCCTTCATGATTAATAATCAATATTTTCAGATAATGAAGGACTCAAAGAAAACTTCCTTCAAACGGTTTCGCTCTCGGTGGAGGGGATCATTTATTACCTCAAAAAAGAGCTTGCAACTTTCCACATCGGTTCTTCAGCTCACTCGACGACTTCATCTCGCTTAGTGTGCTGTTCAGTATTAAGTATACGCCACCGGCAACAATGATGATGCGAAGGTTTCTATATTTTAACTTTCAGCGGGAGGCAGCTGGGCGTCGAGTAAATATTACCTGTCCGGAATCCGGAGTCCGGACTCATTATCCTTTACCGCAGGTTACCGAAATCCCCCACCAACCACCGCCTTTTCTAACACGTGGTCTTCGTGTCAGCGCACGTGTGTACATTTTTAATTATGCGAGCGCACACAGAGCGCCGAGGCGAAAACGGAGCAGCGCGAATGTCGGGCAACTAACTTATTAAAAAGCACTCGCCTGGCAACGCATATATTTGCCAAAAAAAAAATCAACAGAGAAAAAAGCGGAGAAGGAGAAGCGGAAATTAAGGTAAACTAGGTGCACCTTCATCCATTCCAAGGACGACTAGGCCATCCTTCCGTTTCCGTTTGCAATTTTAAGCTGACCACCTTTTGGCCTTTGGGGAAACTCGAGCAAGTTTCGCCGCAAGCGGTTTGCATAACCGTAGGCTACTGTTGCTCCCCCATTGTTGTATTCCCCCAAAAGACCGAGTAATAGAGAAATGCCGGGGAAAACCCCACGAAATCCTTCGGTAATCCAGCTTACTCACTGACTGACTGACTGATAACCTAAAAGTGTGCAAAGCCTATCAAGCTGCAAAAGGCGAATAAATGAAAAAATCCCAGCAGATAGAATTGTTTGTGAACTACTCGTAAAAATGTAACTCCATAACTCAGTTGGAAATTGCTTAATTTGACGAGACGGGGATTAGAATCGTACCTCTCGACTGTTGGATACTGTGGATAAATGTGCAACAAAAATGTATTCTTAAATAAGACTCATTTAGTCAAATTTAGTCTTCGAGAGTACAAGAAAAAATATTATTAAAACTATAATTTATATAACACAAAGACTTATCATACCTGATATTTGTGGAGTACAAGGGTGTCATTTGTTAAAAAGTTAGTATACTAGTTATAATAAATCCATTGTAAGTATTCTCAGGTAAAAAGTACAAAGTACAAAATGCTTTACGCTTGTAGACTAGTTTATAAATATAAATGTAGTTGCTTGGCTTGAATAAATGCAGTTGAAAGTAATATTGTTTGCACAGTACCGAGTTTCACAATATAATATACTTGTTTTTGTTATGTATTTTTTTTTTTTTTTTGATTTATTATATGTAACAAAAATTAAAAAAGTAAAGGGGAAATAACAAAGAAAAAAAACATGGGTAAAAAAATAAATACAACTAATAATTGAGCTTGCTTTGTTCATCTTATTCCTACTCACAATTTAAAGTTACAAAAAAACGGAGTGTTCTTCTTTGTCCCTGAGCTATATACCCACACTCCGGAACAATCGGACTGCCAAACTACCCACCATAAATCTTCTGACCAGCAGAAAGGGACAGCGCTCTCGGAAGAGGCAGAAATTATTACATGCCTCATTTGCCGGCGCCTTGAAGAGTCTGAAGAGTCTGCTTATTATATTTTGATTATTTCTGGCACGCGTGTTCCATCCGGACTTCAGAGCGAGGAACTCCGCGCCGAGTGCTGTAAACAAATTCGAAGTACGAAAGGAAAATTCTGAGGGGACGGGAACGGGAAAAGAATCCGGATGGGGCAGATAAACAGGCCAGCTGGCTTTTTTTTCGGTTGCATAATTTTTTCATTTTATTTTGGACTCGTTTGGCCCGCTTTTGTCCATAATGAGATATCTCTATTCTCCTTTGTTTCTTTTCATCATTTTCTGCTACACTCCGTCCATTGTGCTTTTTTTTTGCTTTTCGGAGTGTGTGCTTGTTGTTTTTGCATTTCGCGAAATGCCGCTGGGAAATTCGTGTAACCAACAACAACAAAAAGAAAAAGGAGGAAAATCTACTGGGCTCAAATGGCAATGATGGCGTCGAGGTGGTCTTATTAATTAGGACACGCGCCCTGAGTTATATTTATTCCCAAATATACTCCACTCTATATATACATATATATACGTGAACCGTAAAAGGGACAGCGGTTTTTTGTTATTTAAATGCACAACCATTTTTTCCCAGCCGCCTCAGCCTGATTGCCAAATTCCATTTGCATAAGAATGCCAAATGGGCCAGGAAAAAACTACAATAATATTTTGTAGCTCACGCAATACCTTATGGGAAAAAAGTTTTATTTAGGTATCAAATATCTGCCATACATTTAGTGTAATTTAAATAATAATAAAATAGAGAAAAAACAATAACAAATTAATGTTAATCAGGTTTAATATAATTCATTTTATTTAAATATAAAGTTGGAATTGCAAATCTAGAAGACGAAATTTATACTAACATAGTTTCCTATTGTTTACCAAGTAGGTAACTATTAACAGTTCAATAAATACAATTCAAACTTTTTCAAATACACTATTTGATTGATTTGATAATGTCCCGAGGGACCAAGGGATTTGCTCGCTTAATAAATCCGGGCGTGGTTCTCCATCCGGAACTAAATCAGAAGATAGTGGCCTTCGAGGCCATGACCGCCGAGCGATCTCAACTGGATAATGATTTGAGCCGATTGCGTAAGCAGCAGGACGACACCGAGGATAATTTGGCCGAGGCTCTCGCCGAAGATGAGTTTCAGTGCAATCTGAGGGGTCAGCAGTTCGCAGGACCCACTGAGGATGAACTTCAGAGCATCCTTAAGAATCACCTCGGTGGGATTATCAATGAGCTATCCGCCGTATATGAACGGATTATTTACATGGACGCCGATATCAGAAAGCTAAAGGGCACCATTGAAAAGGAAATCTCGGCGGCAAATGAGGAATCTGCAGCCGCAGCCTCAATGTGAAGCGATTATTCCAGTTTATCTATTTGAATATTCAAATTTTTGTTTCATTTACTATATTAAAGACCATCTGTATGGGTAATGCTGTATAAAAATGTTGAAAACAGAGAGATAACTTGCAAAAATCTGTAAAAATATGTTACATTCCCGGCAAAAATCTATTTATTTATTTTACTGGCCCCCTTAAACCACTTAAAACCACAATAATCTCATTTCCGGGCATTTTTAACGCACTCTGGCACGGAAAATCCGACGAGGAGCAGAAGACACTGCCAACTTAATTGCGTATACGCACTGTTGCCACTGCAGTCGCGAACACAACTTCCTCCATGGATGCAGATACGCTCCGTTGACTCTATCGTTAAGTGCATAAATTCAATAATGCCGAGCGTCTGGCGGTGTCAACGGGCTGAAAAAGATATAGACTCGGCCGATCGATAAAGCTACAGCTTGAAAATTTATGGAATTTCCTGCGCCATGAAAGTGGCCTGCATTTATTTAATTTATTGACTTAGCAGACAAAATCTAAAGCAAGGCTCTCTTGCAAAAATATTCAGCTAAGTCTAAAAAAAAAAGTTCCTTTTACTGAGCATCTAAAATAATATTTAAACTGGACAAGGCAATGCAATAATAAACTTCAATGGCCAAAAGAACCACAAAATGGGAAAGGAAACATTTAAATAAGTCTGAGACAAGAAACTGATTACATATTTGTTGTTACTTCGAATTGGTTAAGCATTAATAAGAAGTGCCAGAGACACATTTAAACAATGGCAGACCGTTTTGTCTTTGTCTTTACTTACTTTAATTAATTAAATTGGAATTTTGGAGGAGGTAACCATTTCGAATTTGTTTCAGTGGTCAGCAGACTGGTCAAACAAGCCAAATGCAAATTTCTAACCAGGCACGGGGCTTAACGAGAACATTTGCATGAAGTCAATCATCTCGACTGGTCAGTGAACCGAGAATAAGACACTTTGGGTCCCTGCTTGGCATTCACTGTATCTTTGTATCGCTGTGACTCTGATTGCCTTTCATCCCAGTCAATTGGAAAATTCGCACTAACAAAGCATTTTCTGAAATATTTGCAAAAAGGGTACACTTATAGAATGGAAACAGGTGAAAGATAAATTTCCCTAAAAAAATAATAGCAATTTGCAGTATAGAAAACTTTACAACCACTTAGTCATCCAAAAATGGTTTATAAAGTTTAAATCCTTTTGTCTTTCCTAGCAGCTTATCATTTCCCAAATATGAACTTGTTCAATTATCAATCTCTAATCGCTTCTTAACTAATCTGAAGATTTCAAGCTCATCAATTACAATTGCCGCAACTTAAAAAACTTGGATCATAACTTTTTGAAGGTCATCCCTCGGCGTCATTTCTCTTCATTATGATAAATTGACGATGCGAACATATTTCATCTAAGCGCTGAAATTTAGAACGAGGCGATAATGAGATGTTATTAATATCAACTTGCGACTTATTTAGTGACAAAACCCCTTTGGTGCCACAGGCAAATGGCATTATGCAAAAAGGCGAAGAGTATAAGAAAATGTTTGGACTGCTAAAAACCCTTAAAAAACAAAAAAAAAAAACAAAAACCTAAGCCGCCTCTTGTTGAGGAGCCTTCAGAAGTGTCAAGAAAACAAATGACGGTCAGTTATTTTTTTCGTGTTCCTAAGCCAACCTTGAATAAACAGAAGAATGGGCGAGTGTTAAACTTCTTTTCTTTCACCGTCAACGTTGCCTTTTTCAAGGCTTTCGCCTTGAAGCCTTACACCATAGGTTTGTAACTCGAGAACATAAAAAGGACGTTTACACAAAAACATCAAAATAAAATTGTGCCCAAAAAGGACCCTCTTTTATATATACTTTATTTTAATTACCCAGCAACAGATTGGATGTCGATAAGTATTGATTATAATAATCATAGAAGCATAACAATTTCGGGTTGGTATGAATACAATTATGTAAAAACCAACTAAGCTCTTGAATTTATTAGAACAATTTGTTTTCAATTTGCTTGGCAAGCATAAATAGGCAAACCTGTTTGGCACACTAAGTTATACCAAAATGGGCATAAAATACGGTCAGTATGATAAGGTTGCAGATAAGAATATTTTTGCCACATAACAATGGGGGAAACAGGAAAAAAGAGCCTAGTTACAGCCGTTACACACATAAATCAAATAAATGGCATACAAAAAAGTATCTAATACAAAGCTAACAAGAAGTAGGAAAATAGTAAATGGAACCATTCAACAAAATGCGACTAGAAAAATTTAGTAAAGGGACAGAAATAAATTACTTGGGATTCAATGCTATAAATACATATATTCCAACTAAAAGTGGTTTAAGTTAGTATTATGTTTTAAGTTCCTAGTTCTTCGTACCTTATATCGTACTAACTAATTAGCTTAGGGCTAAGAATAAATTTGTTAATTATCTTAGGTGTTTCTTGACTTCGTATGTTACTCTTAAATTATGAATACATCATTATTGAATTCCTTTCTACTATTTCTTATGAGGCTTCCCTTCAATCTGGAAGTTGCATTTGAGACCCTCTGTGCGGCTTATTGAATCGCATCAATTTAATGGCAATTACATGTGCCAGCAGCTCGGAATGATAATGTGCGCTTGGAGACCTCCTTTGCCTGCCATTTCGAATGCCCAAGCATATTGAATTCCGCTTTGCTAATTTGCGTAATTGCGCAGCACGGCAATCTTGCAGTATGCGAATGCAGTAAGAAGTTAAGTGGGGCGACAAGGCCTAACCGAGGTAACCACCAACGTAAGCACCTTAAATTATTACTTAAGTTATTAGGTTGGCATGCGGAGTACTGTTGCGTACCTGTTTGCGGAGAAGGATGTGAAAGTCAAAACAAACTATTAAAAAAATATTATTTCATTCAAATAAAATAAGAAATCATTGTTTTAATGAGCAATATTGATTAAAAAGAAAAGCTAACTAATTTTTTTTTATATTTATTACACTTCTATTTAATTAAATAAATCATAAATGAACTACGAAATTAAAAGTGTTTTGAAATTTACCCAACTGCCATGCATATTTAGTAGCTTAAAGTAACAAACAACAACATTTATAACTATCAGTTTGCTGTCACAAGATGGTTATTTTATTGGACTAAATCTGTCAAACGCATTGTTGTCCAAAATGTCTATCAAAATATCTCTGGTATTAACCAGAAACCAATTACACTCCCCTATGATTTTTGTCTCCGATTCTGACCTTTATATTTCCCAGAGTGTCCGGGAAAACCTCAGTCCACCTGCAGATGCCAGGTGATGACCAATTTGTGGCCGGTCGGATTTCGTTAATGGCTTAATATCATACGGGCAGCAGCTGCAGTTGCAGTTGCACTTCCAGCGGCTGTGGCAGTGACTGTTGCCAGCATCTGCGGGCACTATTTTGGCAGGACATTAAGCCTGAGGACCTCAACCTCGGCCCTTTGAACCGCCGGAAAAGCTGAAAGCCCGAAAGCCCGATTCCCGCCAGGCAGATGGCCAAGACAAGTGACAATGACAAGTGCAGCTTGGTCGCCAGGTGGCAATTTTCCGAGTTTTGCATTTGACAGGCGACAGGCGACGTGACCAGCAACAAGTTGGCTTCGGTTTTGCGGCCCACAGCCGCAGATCATTGCGGATAATTAAATATTTGATGGGGCCCAAACCGAATGCGCGGCATGTGAGTACTCTTAACACTTCATAAATGTTATGAACGCGGCGGCGTAAAAATTAAGTCATAATGCGATTTGCGGCAATCATAAAGTGCAGGAAGCGAGTGGCAACTACATTGTGTGTGCGAGGGTGTGGCACTTTTTCGTACATTCCGAGGTCATCTTAATGCGAACGATAAATTCGCTGGTTGTCCCATAAAAAGAAAGCGAGTGCGAGTGCGATTGCGGGAATCGTAAATCGACACTTGAAGGGGCGGTAATAGGGATCATAAAGCCCGGGAACAAAATAATCAATTTGTACCCGAAACGTTTAATAAATTGCAACTAAGCTACGGACCGGGCACACGTGTCGTATACGTCATTTGCTAAGAGTTGCGAAATTAACACGCATACGACGGCACTTAATTTGTCACTAAATGGCTTCCCCCAAGACGCTAAAAAACAGGAGGCACTACACTTGGAAATTAGCCCTATTGAATATAAAAAAGTTAAGTTAAAGATATATTGATAATCTTCTCAAAAAACCGCCTCAAAAAGAAAAATAATATCAACATATTAGGTTTTGTTCTTTTTCTTTTAATTTTTAACTTTTTTTTTAAAGCTGGAAAAATGATAATTTCGAGTATATTAATGAAATTTCAGCACATGCAATTATAAGTTATAAATACAAAATTATAAAAACTTACAAATTATTTCATCACATTACTTTTGCTGCTATCAAATTAAGTAATTTAAAAGTAATTTTAAGGACGAAAGTTATTTATGCAATAATATTTTAATAAATAAAAACTTTCTTAAGCCAGAAAACAAAGAATATATTATAATAAATCTACCAGCTTGGAAAAACTGAGTAAATTAAAATTTTCTTTTAAATGTATGATGATTCTGTCACTTAAATAAAAAAAAGTTATATTTCCTGTAAGTATTTACTTCTATTATTCTTATTTTTTATTACACAATATTTAAAGCTAATTTTTTACCAGTGTAGCCATGTGGTAGTGGCGAGCAACACGTTGTGTAGCTTAAATTGAAAATTACAAAAAGCGATACAAACAAGCACGCAACCCGAGGAGCGAGGAGCCAGCAGGAAGGATCCAGAAACGAGGAAGGAGGAACGAGAAACGAGGAACGAGGAGCCTTCGAGAATGGCACGGTGTCCCAGTGAAGCCGCAGGGACGCGTGATGTGCGGACATCCTGTGGCAGGATGGGGTCAGATGGGGGCGTGGCTCAGCGCCCTCCGGTTTGACGGCGACGCATATGAAAATTTCGCACGACAATTTATTGCCATGCTTAAGAAGCGTGCGTATGAAATAATATACAAAAAGGACACCAGTCGGCGGGGCAAGGACATGTTTCGTGCCACAACAACAACAACAAACAGTTTGTTGCTCCAGCTTCTGCTGCTTTTACTGAGATGCTGCTGCTGATGCTGAATTTTAAAATGTTCTTTAAAC